AGAAGACTAAAATGCACGTATTTACCTTCACTTCCCCCCAAATTCCCACTAATATTATATTACAGTCAAGGGATTTTTTTTTTCCTCAAAGAACTGGTTGAACAAGGAAAGAAGACATTATTGGGCAAGAAATAGCAACATATTTGAGGAGAAAGATGAAAAATGGATTGATGAGTGGTAACTGGCTTTAGCAAGATAGAGAAAACTGAAATCTAAGTCTCTCTGAAGAGAAAAATGCCAAGAAAGTCAACATTTCAGAATAGTTAACTATTTAAATATTAAAACATCAATCCAAGAGAATGATGTCAAAGTAACAAAGATATAAGTACTTAATTGTTTTCCAGATGTAAAGGGTCTATTAAATGTCCAGTACATGTCAAGGCTTATTATCACAAAATTTTACATAGTGGCAACAAAGAAAATATTGTAAAAGTTTTCAGGGTCAAAAACAACAAATCAAATTGATATCAGACTTCTCAATAGCAACAGCTGGCCTTAAAAGATAAGGGAGCAATTTCTTCAAAATTCCAACTGAAGATTATGTCTCACTTAGAATTTTATACCCAACTAAGGAAGCAATTAAGCTACTTAGAAGAATCCAAAAATGTATCTTGCAAAAGTACTCTTTCTCAGAAAGCACCTAGTGAAGACGCTCCACCAAAATGAGTAAATAAATCAAAAAATGAAAAGACTTGGAATTCAAGAAACAGGTGATACCCCATGAGGAAAAAAAAGGAATTCCCAGGATGACAGTGAAGGATGGTCTCATAAGACAGCTGAGAAAAAGTCTATAAACCAAGGAGTCAAGAGTGGAGCAAGAGGACAGAAGGCTACAGAAGAGAGGGCTCCAAAATTTTTCAAGGAAAATAAAGGATAAATATAACAGAAGTTAATATTACTTGATGCGTTTGATCACATTAAGAAGGTTTAATTCTTTGGGCGAGGTTTGGTGAAGCTTTAGCGATGGGTACATAGAAAACAAACAGAAAAGCAAGAAAATGATCAATTCGTAAAAAAAAATTAATAGTTGTATACTGGCTCAACTGTGAAAATATGTTAATACTGTCATAATAACATCAGTGTGGAATACATATTTAACCAAGATTTAGAATAACTGCATTACTATACTGCCAGGATGAGATGGGGATTGGAGTACGAAGCACAAAGTATGAAGGAGGTCAAGAGATGATGCCTCAAATTTAAAACGTAAGAGAGCCTTGTATTTTCAGGTGCAGACTTAGGAACCAAAAGAAACATCTAACAGAGTTGAAAGTGCTTCCAGGTGAGGAGCAGAGTTGGGGAGAAAGAAGGACAATACTATCTCGTAGTACTACTTTACTTTTTCAACTATGTGTATTATGTTTTTATAAAAATCGAGTAAACTAAATTTTTAAAAAATATTTGTATGCTAAAGATATAGGAAATAGTCTCAAACTATTGAAATAGAGCATTCTGTCACTTTTTTTATTTCAGCATATTACAGGGTCCAGATGTTTAGATTACATATATTGCCTTTGACCCACCTGAGTCCATTCTGTCACTTTCAAAAAAAGTAATCTGGCAATATCTATTACAATGAAAAATGTACTGACCCTGTGACCCAGAAATCTTATGTCTAGTAAGTCATCATAAAGAAATGAAAACACCTACACTTGTGTACATATGTCCAAGTTGTTTATTTTCAAAGAAAACGCAAGACTTTGTTTATTTCAGCAAATAGTTTGTGGTGGCAAAACCCTGTACATAATCTAAATGTCCTTCAACAGGGGAATGGCTGAATGAACTGCGGCACAGTCACACTGTGC